CATCTCAGATTGCTTAAAAGCCTTGGCTACTGCTTTGTCAAAAATAGTGTTGCATCTAGGACGTAGCATGACTTTGCTATCTGCTTCCTTCTTCTGAATTAGGAATTCTAGCAGTGTTTCCCCTGCTTTCGAGAAGATTTATGCATTTTCCTTCTCAAAATTTTCCAGGGTGTCGTCTAGTGTCCCTTTCTTTTCGAATTCATTCAAAGTTAGGTCGAACAAGTCCTTCTCTTCATCAGCAACATCGACCAGCAGTATGTCGAGAGGCTCCACGAAGTTGGCCTCAACTTGAATTGGGTCAGAGTCAATCTTCATCAATATTTTTGACTTCTGCTCGAATTTCAATCTTCCTTGCTTAATAGCGTTCTAAATCAAATCCCTGAAACAAACGCAATTATTAGTTCAATGACCGTAAATATGATGAAATTTACAATATTTTTTTACCTTTCTTTGTTCTAAAGTGGGGATCTTATGATAATCAGATAACTCAATTTGGCCATCTTTCAGAAAAAATCATAAATGTTATAAGCTTTAGTGACATTGAATGTATAACTTTTATTAGGTCGGGTTTTATCTTTGTTATCTAACTACTTAAGAGATTGACAAACATAAGGGGGTCCTAGTTTTAATTTAGCTACCTTAACTTCATTTATCCCAACATCTACATCTTCTTCGAGATCATTTTCATTAACTAGCTTTTCTTCAACTAGACCCACATAAGCAACTTTATCTTTTCAAGGAAATTTCTCATTTTTTCTCTTGGAGCATACTTCCCAGCTTTAAGCTGCCCAATCTGCCTCACTTTCATGGCTAATTGTGACATATCTCTCAACTGTTAGTTGATTAATTTTTTCTCTAATCGAATATTCTAACCCACCTACAACCGTTTGGACTAATTCGTATTCTGAAATTTGGATGAAGCATCTTGACCTCATTTGTCAAAATCTGCTCAAATAGTCATTAATAGATTCATTATGCATTCTTTTCACGTTAACTAAGTCCATTAGACTAACTTTCGTTTCACCATGAAAGAATTGTTCGTGAAATCTCCTTTCTAGTTTATTCTAATTATGAATTGAATTTAGGGGTAAGGTCATGAACCAAGTGAAAGCCCCCTTAGTCAAAAAAATCAGAAAGTATTTTAACTTTAATTCCTCATTTCAAGCTAAATCCTCACATTCTATCAAATACCTAGCAATGTGCTTAACAATGGATTCATCGGATTCTCTGACAAACTTAGAAAATTTTGGAACTTTCCAGCTCGGGGTACTTCAGCTTGTAAAATCATCTTGAAAAATACCGAAATGAAATAGGGTCTATTAGCGTACCCTACGTCGAAGTTGTGTTGGTTCAAGACCTATTCAACAACATTTGCAATATTTTGGGGATTATGGTTTTGGTGATTAAGCTGATGCCCCCATCCATTATTTTGTCAAATTTGCTCTAACACTTCGTCGGCGTTCTGATTTCTAGCAATAATCTAGGGTTGGTCCACCTGAAAATTTCCCCAATTTGTCTCAGAACATTTTAGCTGAAATTTGGACCATTTTGTTGAAAACTAGACCATTTTTTTTTTATCAAAAATTGGTTCATCTCGATCAATTTTGGCAAAGTTCTATCTTTGCCCTATTGGGACTTGTAGTGCCTCGAAGATTCGGTAATTCAACGCATTTTCTGAGCTAAAACTTGATAGGTGACATTAGTAGTTTCAACTATGGGATTGACCATTTCGTTATTACTTTCATCCATTTGTTGCCTTATGGAATGTAAGGCAACATTCGAGAAAGAGTTAGCAAGAATTGAATCCCCGCTCGAAACTCCTAACACAAATTGAGTTCCCTGTACTCTGCCAACCACACCCATTCCCGATAGAATGGCGTGACTTCTGGGTGACACGGTTGTCACCACAGGATTATGGTGTGTTTGTACTCCAAAAATGTGTGGAACAAACTCAGGAGGTAAACTGTATGGTGGATTACCCGTTCTTTGACCCAAACTCACCTTAGGGTTATTCAGTACACTAATTATTTGACTCATTACTGGGGATGATAGCGTTGGTAACGCTATCATTAGTATTGGTTCTAGAAAAAATTAGCATTGTCATTACTATTTTTTGGGTTGCCATTGCTGCCATCACTCAAGTTTCTTGAATTATCATTCATAGAATTACCATTCCTTCCTCTATTAGTCATGATACAACGTCCGTTACGTAATAACATGCACTAAAGCAAGCAGTCTTTCAATCAGACGCAAAACACACTGAATAATGTCCCACCAAGCATGTCAATTTGTTTACGGTGAAAATTGCAACTGGTAAACAAATAAATTCAAATTTTAGGTCCTCTTGGGTTCTTTTAAGTGTGTTCTTAATGTAACAATTCAAATTAACGTTGTAAAGCAGACTAAAGCAGGAATAGTAGATAATGATCACGTAGAACTGAACTGGGTGTAGAAGTTTATAGAAACATATTGAACAAAAATGTAATTGCAGGAACAGAAAACATAAAATGAACTAGAAATAAACAGGCTAGAATTAAAATGCAAGAATGTAAACGTACGACTTTCGCTAGGAACAACAACAACTGTGAGTCTCCTGGTAGCTGGTGTTTTGGCTTGGTGTCGAATTTCAGCTTGCAAAGAATTTTAGGTGCAGTGTCTGGTGTAAAAAGTCGTTCCATGTGATGTAAAGCTTTGTAACATTTATAGGTAATGTATCTGAACCGCTCTCCTCCTTTCGTGGGCACTTCTTGGTAATTGCCTTCTGTGCGTGCTTCTTCTCAACCGTTGTCGCCCATTATCCATAACTACTCCTGATCATGCCTTCTCCATAGCTATTGTTGTCCATGATCAGTTCTTCATGTCTCTAACCTTCAACTAGTAGTAACTGCTAGTTTGATAATCACTTCAAACCTTGTAGTTCTTTTTGACATGTTTGTTCACCTTTAGGTTCTATCTTGTCTTTGGGACTTAGAATAATTTCTCCTATCACTTCTTCTTCAATAAGTTTTAGGGAAAACTAGTGAGCTCCACGTCATCTCTTAGACTTAGACTAATTTTCCTTGTCGATTCCTTTTTTCGACAAGTTTTAAGGAAAATTTGTAACCCCCAAATCTTGTAGACTTAGAATAATTTCCCTTATTGATTCTTTTTTTTTTTTACAAGTTTTAGGGAAACTCTGTGAGCTCCACTTTGTCTTGTGGACTTAGAATTTCCCTTGTCGATTCCTTTTTTTGACAAGTTTTGGCTGTTTTTAGTCTGGGACATGAAAAATCCTCAAAAACTCCTCAAAAGGCAATCCTCTTTAGTTTTTTTTTACAAGAATTAGGGCTCTTCTCATGGCTCTTCAAACTCCTCGAAATGTAGCCTTTTTTGACAAAGAATGGGGCTCTCCTCATGACCCTCCAAGTCTCCTCAAAATGTAGCCTTTTTCTTACAACGAATGACGCTTTCTACTAGTCTTCGTGGAAATGTGTTGGAAAGTGGGTCTACTGACAAAATTTTAGGATTTAGATATTTTCATAGGTCTATGACTCATCAATGTGTAGGACCCTAGGGTTCTTTATGATTTTAATCTAAACATGTGTCCATACCATTGGTCTTTGAGATATGGACATGCAGTTTTTCCTTTACTCAAGAACTACCCATTTTAGTGTATGTTGCTGGAATAAGTATATTGCTTTTTGCAAATGTTGGGTCCTCTAGTTAGGCCTAATAGTTCTAACTTCCAAGTAATGTATTATACTATGTTCGATTATCATTTATTTATACTTTGTCCTTTGTTTACGGATTTTAAAATTTAAACAAACGTCTTAAATGACTAATTTATTATTGGATTAAATGTAATGACCAATTGTAGGAATTTACATAGCAGTTCTTTACATATAATAAATCAGTGTTTCTATTCTGTCTAGATTATTTCTAATGAACAACTTAATCCTTATAGGAGTCATGTAATGGTTACTCTCTCAGTCAAGTCCTATTAAATTGTAGTTAGGAAATACTCACCACACACCAAAACAAGGACAGGTTATTTTACCTATATCCTGTCCAACATGTTCTAGAAACTAAAAAATGATTAGATTTGTTATAAATTAGTGTAATTTTATTAATTTCACTTTTTGTTCTGTATAAAGAATGTTTGAATTATGTCAGGAAAAAAATTTTTTTAGAATAATTTATTTAACTTGTACAATATTGCACAAATTTAAAATATATATAAATGCTATATAATAATTTTTTTATTAAAACTTACAAACTTTAATATAATTAAATACATTAATATTACTAAATGTTATAATTTTTAACCAAAATTTGTTTATATATATATATATATTCTTATGCTGTGCAATATTACAGAATTTTAAAAAAAATAAACAATAAAAAAATCAATACTTCTCCTTTATAAAATTTTTGTTTGAAAAATGTTTAATAACATCTGAATTGACTTTGGACCTTTTTTCATTTATGTGTATTTATAAATTTAATCAAATTAATTTAGTTGGTTTGATTTAATCATAAATGAAAAATTTGAAGCGTTTTAAAGTTAGTTAGAATAATTTTCAGAACACCCAAGAATGGTAAATTTAATCTTATATGAAATTAATTATATGTTGCTTTCTTTTTGAAAACCCAAGAATGATAGGTTTGTTATTCCAGTTTCAGATCTATCTGAGTTCCGCTCTTCGTATGCATCATTTGTAGCGTAGGATCGTTTGTATCAATGTAGCATTTTTTGAGATGTTCGCTGTTTATGGATGCTAGGTTTGGGGCCTTCGTTGTATTGTTGTTAAAAACAATAGAAAATGTGTTTATATGACTGGTGATTTTACTCCTCTTCTGGTTCATGTATTGTCGACGGAATTCAAAAACTTCATATGAGAATACCAAATAACTAAAATTCTAAAACACAAACCAAAAACTAGAAGCTTATTCATTACTGAAGCGCAGCAACAAGTTTTTCTTACGGTACCCCTACCACACCGAAAGAAACAGAAATAAAATTAGGGTAGTGCCTTCTCGTTAAATCTAGCAAGTGCCTTTTCCAGCTGAGCCCACTTCTGCTCCACTGTGCCTATGTATCCAACCGACATCCTTATTAGGCCTGGTGAGATTCCAGCAAGCCTTTGCTCCTCTTCATTCATCTCACTGCTAGTGCTACTTCCAGAGCATGACATTAGGGTCTCATAGTAGCCCAAGCTAACAGCCATGAAACCAAATTGAGCATAGTTTTGCAAGATGTTCATCAACCTATTAGCTCTCTCCTCGGTTTCCATGTCAATGCAAAGAAGCCCACCGTACCCATATTCCTTGTTGGCTATGGATTTCAACAATTCATGCTGTGGATGGTCTTCAAGGCCTGGGTAGATCACCTTGAGTCCTAATTTCTTAAGCCTTGTGGCGAACACCAATGCACGGTGGCAATGTTCCTTCATCCTAAGGCCCAAGTGAGGGATTCTCTCCGACAGTTCAAAAGCTACCTTAGCATTCATAGTTGGACCCAACAACATCAGGGCCCCTTGCTGAAGGTCCATCATCGAATTCACCAGACTTGCAGGCCCGCACACAGCTCCTGTCAACAATGAATATACACAACAGCAACTATTATTTTCTTAAAATTACAAATATTACTACTCAATGCTAAAAAATATAAAGATTTTCTTGAAAATTATAGATATTACTGAAAGTTGTTTTGTAGTTAAAAGTTATAATATATATGTGAAAGAAAATCAATTAGTCTGATAAGCTATAAATATTTATCACTATCAATAAAATCGAAATTGGCTTACTGATGAGATAAATGGATATGAAATAATAAGAACATCATCATTATCACACTGCAGGAAACACGTGGATAAGGAAAAGAGGACTGCTGTGTGAAACGACAAAATCTTAGGTACAGGTGGGTGCACAATCTAGATTGGAGTAAGCAGTAAAGAACAAAAGGACTTTCATGAAAAATAATTCTTTCACGTTTGCTATTCCTTGTGTATAAAACATTATCACATCTCTACTAAAAATTGAAGAAAATAACTTTTGCAAAAACTAGGTAGTTGTGTGGTTGGTAGCCTTTGTTAGAATAGTTAACCAGAAATATTAATAAAACAACAAAACAGATTTTTCAACCTGTTGAACATTTTATAGGACAAATCTATTTAGTTAAACATTTGTTAGATATCTTAATTCTTAAAAGGTTACTAAATAATATTTTTCAAACAACTATTATATGTCTCTTTCATAATTTTTTTTTCCTGTCATTTTATTACAATTTTTTTTCCTTGTAAAATGATAAGTCTTAAATTTTTATGATAGCTTTTTAAAGTTTATAAAATAATCTTTCATGTATTGTCATGATGCTAACATGCTGTAGTTGGTAGCTGTCGGAACCAAATTGAATTTTTAATTTAGAACGCAGACAACAAGTGTCAAAAGCAGCATAAATAATAACATCATTACCTGAATAGTTAACATGAAATATCCAAATAAAAAAATTAAAGCAACAAAACAACAAAAGTAGCATCAATTTACACTCATATATTTATAATTATCTTTAAACAATTTTTATCTAAAAATAATTTTTATAATAATATTAATAATAAAAATATTGTAAATAAAAAATTAAATTAGCATACAAGTATGGTAACAAATATTCACCTGCAATAATATAATCAATTTAATATTTATAATTAATTATGCAATAGATAATTAAAGGAGAATATCCTAACTCCACAAAAAAAAAAAAAAAAAAACCTTATCCATGCATTGTTATTGAAAACTTATTTAAACTAAGAGCTACAAAATAGGAAATTTATCATAAAAATAAATGAAGAGAGAAGGGTAAACCTGCAATTATGTCAGCGCCACCGCTGATAAACTTGGAGATGCTGTGAACGACGACATCAGCGCCGAGACAAGCGGGGGAAACGACCATGGGAGCGAAGGTGTTGTCGACAACTACTGTGACACCCTTTTTGTGTCCCACGCGGCACAGTTCTGGAATGTTGGCCACCTTCAGAACAGGGTTGGCCACAGACTCAAAATAGAGCACTTTAGTCTTCCCTTCAACGATTGCGTTCTCCACTGCCTCCAAATCGGAGATATCAACGAAGGTTGTGGTGATGTTGCATGTCCTGGGAAAAAAATGAGAGAGGAGAGCGTGGGTCCCACCATAGAGAGCGCTTGAGGCCACCACGTGCCCGCCGAAGCTGCAGAGCTGGAGTAGAACGGAGGAGATCGCCGACATGCCGCTGGCGGTGCAGTAGGCGGCCTCGGTGCCTTCCAGGGCAGCCATCTTGCGGCCGAGATTTAGAACTGTAGGGTTGAAGTGGCGGCTGTAGATGAAGAAATCATTGTCAGGGCCAAGCTCGCCGGCGAACATGCGGCGGAGGGTGTCCGGCTCCATCACTGTAAAGGTGGCAGAGGCCTCCACTGACATGTTCACTCCACCGTGCTCCCCAAACTCATGGCGAACGCTTGCCAATGCCGCCGCTGGGTCCACATCGCCACCGCCACGAAGCATCTTCCTCTTTGCGTCGTTACCCTCGATGACATCGTTTTTGCCACTGCTGCGCTTCATGCTCGAGACGTCCACCCCAGTGTCAGCCATTACGAGGAATTGAAAACGATGAGAGAGAGAGAGAGGGAGAGACAATTCAATTGATGAATGGATGATGGAAATACACCCTCTGCTCGCTATTTATCTTTGTGCTTCACGGGAAACAACTACGCTTCGTTTGATTTTTAAAACTTCCATGCTGTGAATCTGGACGGATATTTTGCTTTGAATGTGAATCTAGTCGTTTTTTTTAGTATTTTTTTTTCTAATATTACTTTAACAATTTTAGTAAACTTTATCATAATAGTTAATTGACCTTTTTTTATTTCCTTTGTAACAGTAGAATTGGCATTGGCTATTTATCACGTTCAAGATTTGGCGTTATCTAATATTAATTGTATCAACATAAAAAAAAATAAAATTATTTTTTAAAATTTAATTATTTTGTTTCAGGTCCACAAAATTCAAACAAAGTAGTCTACAAATTATACAACGGTAAAAAGATAACGCATCTATTTGATTTGATAAATTAGTGCAATTTTATTAATTTTACTTTTGTTCTGAATAAAGAACGTTTGAATTATATCAGAAAAAGTTTGTTTACCATAATTAATTTAACGTTTTTTAACTTGTACAATATTGCACAGACAAATTAAAAATATATAAATGCTATATAGTAATTTCTTTTTATTAAAACTTACAAATTTTAATATAATTAAATACATTAATATTATTAAATGTTATAATTTTCAACTAAAATTTTTTTGATATATACATATTTATGTTGTGCAATATTACATAATTTTTAAAAAAATTAAACAATAAAAAATTAATATTTCTCCTTTATAAAGTTTTTATTTGGGAAATTTTTAATAACAACTTAATTGACTTTGGACTTTTTTGTCCATTGATCTGTATTTGTAAACTTAATCAAATTAATTTAGTTGATTTGATATAATCTTAAATAAAATTTTTGAAGCATTTTAAAGTTATTTATAATAATTTTTAATAATTTAACGTGTACTTAACGACAGATGTAAAAAAATTAAAATAATATTTTTTTATTAAAAGTTACGGCGTTTAATATTATTTATGTATTAAATTTTGTGATATCCTATTATTTCTAATAAAAAATTGCCATATATATGTTGTTATTTTATATCCACAACATATTAAAAAAATATTTTTTATTAACAATAATTTAAAAAAAAAATTATTTATACAAAAATTTTGTTTGAATAAAACATATATTGTTTTGTTTTAATTTAATTTATGTATACAAAATTATCTACAAGAAAATAATTTCATATTTAATATTTTTCTATATATTAAATTTTAAATCTATTCCTTAAAGGATAGTAATTTTTGAAAACAACTAGAAATAAGTTAATTAAAAAATAAAAAAATCAGTTACAAATAACAAACAACTCAAAATAAGTTAACTAACAATAAAAAGAAAGTCAATCACAGATAGACAAATATATGTTACTAAATTAGTTGACAACTTTTCTCTGCAATCTTAATTGTTAATTATTTTATCAATTAAATTTAGTAACTAATGTAGCGATCAATGTTTTTAATTAAAATAATGATCACAAATTGATTCGCTTATTAAAATCAAAATACTTTAGCAATTACCAATAATATTTTAATAAGTAGTTGCATATTTTGTCACAATTTATTTTCTATAACTAGTTGCTGGTATATTTGCTGAAATTCATATAACATGAGAAGTTATTATTTTTTTTTTCATACAAATTTCATAGAGTACAAATTCTAAAACAATAAGGAAATAATGCATCTATTGATTTGATAAAAAAAAAAAGTAATAAGCTGGTGTAGTTTATTCAATAAAAGTTTTGTTTAGAACAATTAATTTTAGAAAATATTTTTTTTATAATTTTATTTTTTTAAAAATGTTTAGTAGGAATTTTTTTCATGTATTTATAAATTTTATCAAATTGATTTGATTTTTTTTATTTAATCTTAGATTAAATCTGTTAAGCTTTGAAAGTTTACCATTTATACAAAAGAAATTAATCTTAACTAAAATGTCATTTTATTTTATATATGTAAAATTATTAAAATAAATATTTATATTCAATCAATATATAAAATTGAGTCCTTATTTTTAGAGAGTAGTTTCAAAATTATTTTATAAAAAAGTGGTTTTAGAAGTTATTTTTTCTCATTGCAGAACGGGCCTTTTTCATGTATTGAGTATTTTTAATTTGAATTTTTAATTTCATTTTTATTATGATTTAATTTAAAAATTTAACCTTTGTTAATAAATTTTATTCAATATATTAAAATATTAATTATTGATAATAAAAAAAATTATTATTGAATTTATCAAGTTATTAAATTTTAAATAATAATGTAATACATCTTTAACTTCTATTCAAAAAATTATTTTAATTTTAATAATACTTATGCAATATGCGTTGAAACTCATCCATAATAAAAAAATCAAATTATTTATCTATTTTAAAAAATATGAAGAATAAAAGGCATTTGATTTTAAATAAAAATTTATTTTATTGTACATTTTAATTTAAAATCATATACCTCTTTATATTAATTATAAGCCTTATTTTTAAATGAAATGATGATGTGAATCAACTAACTAATTTCTAAACATCTCAAAGAGATTTCACCTTTTTACAAATTTATTCTGAAATTAAAATCTTTTAGTTGAACCTTATCCAAATTTTATCGAAGAAGCAACCCTATTTTTACCTTAAATTAGTCAAAATATACAAAATCTTTTACTTTTGTAGATGACTGGATTATTAATTTTTGATTAGTCACTGTTAATGATCAATGAAATTCATGATTAAATTAAAAAAAATAAAATTAGGGTTGCAAATATTTTCCCCAATTTTCGAGTCTGCTACTTTTTTCCCCTTCAATCCTGTCTTTTTTTACTGTCAATTATTTGCTCTTCCTCTCACACGATAGATTATACCTTTCCATTGTGTTTTCAATTTCAATGTACATTTTTGCCACTCTCACACTTCCTTTTGCTTCTTTTTTCCATTAATCCATAGATCACGGGTCCTACTAGGTCTACTTTGACCAAGTCTTCAAATTAAATTAGTTTTAAGTTGTCAGTGGTTTAGTGCACCAAGTGTTTTGTGGCATGTTTAGATTGTACTTGCACTGTTTAGCAGTTATAGCACTTTTAAACTTTCAATTATTGTAATGCTTATTACATAGACATTGCTTACCAACTGAATCAGCACGGTAACAACTTTCAAACAAATAAGAATCATCACACCTATCAAATTCCCATGAAGAGATCCGCGTGGGAAATTGCGTTAGGGAAGTTGTTAGCTCATTCTTCATTATACATGACTGAAACAAGGAATGTACTTCTGAACCATGAAACCATGTTAAAAAATCAAAAGACATCTATGAGAAACATAGAACTACAGTTCAGACAATTGTCTTAAATGATTGCAACAAATTCTTAAAATGCATTTTCAGCAAATTTTGTTGTAAACCCAAAGGTAAATTGTAGTGCAAGAAGTGGCAAACAACTGGATTCTCAAGACAAAGACAAAGTGAAAAGGAAAGCAAAATTTTACAAGGAGAAATTCAAAATTTAGTATAGATAAAAGAAGTTTTTCAGAAAAAATGATGAACCCAAAAGAGAAATTGAAAAAGAACTGAACTGGATAAGACACCATTCGGTCTCAATGATAAAAGGAATCTGAATACTTCTTCGGCATCAATAGGACGAGTATCCTCTCGGTCATATTAAAGAATAATTAAACTAATTAAGATAAATAATTAAATTATTATTTACTTAATTGGAGGGTCAAAGTTAGAACTGACCCACAAAAAGTCCGTTAGCCCATAATACTACCTATAAAAGGAAGATAAGAGGTACAGGTAAAGGGTTGACTTTCGAATATTTAATAGCATTTATCGCCTAAACCAACACATGACTTTATCATTAGAGTACTTTTTGCAGGTACACTCCCCCTACGTTAGACAGAGAAAACTCAGCAGTACTTGCAAGGACGTCACCTTATCCCATAGCAGAGGAGTATCGAAAAGATCAGTGTATTCGTTTTTAGGAGGATTGCAGATTAAACACTGAGTCACTTCTGTCGAGCATCCCTAAACCAATGGACAAGTCGAGGCAGCAAATAAAGTCATCCTACATGAACTGAAAAAAAAAAAAAAAAAGATTGGGTTCAGCAAAAGATGAATGGGTAGAAAAATTACCTGAAATTTTATAAGCTTATCAGTGTACTCCCCAAACAACAACATCTTTTTGGTTAACCTATGGTACTGATGTCATGGTCCCGGTCAAAATTGGGAACCATCCTTTCGGCAGCAACACTTTAATGAAAACTCTAGTGGTGAATCTTTAGCTGTTGACTTGGATTTATTAGACGAGATATGTGATCAAGCAGCTATCATAGCCGAGGCTAGTAAAAGAACAATGGCAAGAAGGTTCAATTCAAAAATAAAATCAAGACAATTTCAGGTTGGAGACCTGGTATGGAGAATAACTGGAGATGCATGCCGAGACCGAAGAGAAGGAAAACTTGTTGCTAATTGGGATGAACCCTAGATAATGGATCTTACAGGCTTGAAACACTAGAAGGAAAAAACATACCGAGGACTTGGAATGTGTCACATTTAAAGCATTATTTTAGTTAAGAAAATGTAATATATAAATTTTGCACTCTTTTCTTCACTCAGTTCTGAGAAGATTTTTAATGAGACACTTCCTTAAGAAAATCACTTCCTTCTCCAAACTAGTCGGTTGTTATGGAATCAATTATATTATTCCCTCCTGAGTACCCTACTCGGTCAAGGATGAATCAATCAAATTATTTCTTCTTAAGTACCCCACTCGGTTAAGGATGAATTATTTAAAATTATTCCCTCTCAAGTACCCTACTCGGTTAAGGATGAATGAATTAGCATAGTATCGCGCATTTGGAAGCATTAGAGAGCTATAGGTCGGAGTAGGAGTGGGACCCATCAATTATACCCTCTCAAGTACACCACTCAGTTAAGGACAAATCAAT